CCCCCCCCCCCCCCCCCCCCCTCTCGTGCTAAGGGTGTTGAACTTGGCTCCAGGCTATGAGCCCGTGTTGGAGGCACTTTTTAGTGTCGGTGAGCCGGCAAAAGAATTGAAAGACACCAGACCCTCAACAAGTACTAGGATTGGGAAGTCCCAGTAATTTGAAAGCATCCCACTTCAAACACAAAGAACGAGATAGTCTCGAAAGAGATAGGGAGGGAGACGACGAGGCACAAAGGGTGGAGAAGGAGAGAATCGAAAGGTGCAGTACTGGTAGTGTTGATATTTGGGGTCAATAGCGACATGACAAGGTTGGAGTTCAAAAGTAGATGTGAAGAAGTAGGATTATATTGCTTTGCAAGGGGGGGGTAGAAAGGGAAGGAAACCACTTTAGAATCACGTTTGGAAGGAGAGTAAGCGCAGAATGGGAAAGACTAGAAGTAGAGAAGATGTCGGCGTGGGTGAGGAGACTAGGTTGGAGGGTGTGCATAGCAAATAGGATCCAGGAAGTAAGGCGTAGCCCAAGGCTGGCTGAAAACAAAGGGGGGCAGGAGGCCCGAAAGGGTCAAAAGGGAAAGCAAGCCAAAGCAGGGGAAGGGGGGGGCAGCGATAGGATAAGGCAGAAGGGAAGGGAAATGAGGGACAAAAGGAATCCTGAAAGGCACGGGAAAGTAGAAAGTAGGAGTAAGGAAATCAGAATAGGGTCTTGGAATGTATGCGGATTTGCCACAGATGAGCGTAAAAGACTCGAAATTGCCGAGCAAGCGGCCGAAAAAGACCTGGACATAGTCGGAGTACAAGAGTCGCGGGAGAAGGACGGGGGAGAAATAGGAAAATAAGTGGGAAGCTACATATGGATAGGTAAAATGAGGAGAGGACAGAAAATCAAGAGTAGAGGGGAGGGGGGAGTTGGATTCTTAGTCAAGGAGCACATGTGCGACATAATTGAGGTGATCAGCGACACCAAATTCAACGAAAGCATGTGGATAAGGGTACCAGGGGAACGGGGAAGAAAGGACTTGTTCGTAGGAAATGTATATATGCCACCAGAGTCGAAGAATATGGTGAAAGACATCAGGACAGGGTTCGAGGAGGTAGCAGCGGATGTACAAAACTTCAAGAGAAAGGGAGAAGTAGTTCTAGTTGGGGACTTTAATTCAAGAATCGGGCGAACCACGAACCCGCACGGAACCATAGGGCAATACGGGGAGGGAGCCACGAACAAAAACGGGGAAGAAATGCTGAGGTTCCTTGACAGTAGCGAGATGAAGGTGTTGAACGGTAGAGTACGAAAGACAGAACCGGAATGGAATAGGCAATGTTTCAAAAAAGGAGAACGCTACATCCTTGACTATATAGTCGTAGAGAATGGGGGGAAAGAGACGGAAGTACGAGTATGCACAACGGATGTAGGCACTACAGACCACGCGTTGGTGTGGACAGCCCTACAACAGACGAGAGCCATACAGAGTAGGCGACGCAGGAAAATGTACAGATGGAGAATAGATAAGCTAGAAGTAGAAGAAACGAGGGTAGAGTTCCAAGAAGAGATGGCTATAAACGACAAGAAAATCTCGGAGTTGATAGAGGCAATGGGTACACCGAAGGATGCCGAAGGCCGGGACCAGGCCGGGTCTAGAATCATAGAAGGGTGGGAAGAGCTGGTAAACACAACAGCAAGTAGAGTTCTAGGTAGAAAGTTGATAGTTTGTAAGAGAGCAGTGAAGTGGTGGGACGAAGAAATCAAGCAAGCAATTCGAGTACGTAGAGAGTCACACGCAAAATATGCGGCAGGGAAAACAGATGCAGGATGGAAGGAGTATGTTGAAAGTAGAAAGAGGGTGAAGGAGTTGGTCGTGAAGAAGAAGAAAGGGTTGTGGGAGGAAGTAGTCCAA